TCAAAAACGGATATCAATACGATTGTTTTGTGGCAAGTATTCTTTTGTCTCTCTATGCCAATTTTGGTGAACTACAAGATGTGGAAAAGCTGTTCAGAAGGATTGATGATAGAGATGTTGTGGCATGGAACTCTATGCTCCTGGCTTATGCTCAGTTGCAGCAGGGATCTACTAGTTGCATGCAACTATTTCAAGAACTTCACCGATCAACATTTTTGCGAATGGATGGAGCCACTACAGTAGCCGTTTTGAAATCTTGTCACATCAGTACAGATTTGCTTGCGGGCAGACAAATTCATTCTCTCATACAGAAATCTAGCGCAAGCTGTCATACTTTGGTAGGGAATGCTGTAATTTCCATGTACTCGGAGTGCGGAGAAATTGATGATGCCTATAAAGCCTTTGTTGACATTGTTTGGAAAGATGCTAGTTCATGGAGTTCGATCATTGGAGCTTATCAACAAAATGGGAAAGAGTTAGAAGCTTTAGAGTTTTGCAAAATGATGTTGGCTGCTGGAATCTCTTTCACCAGTTATAGCCTTCCATCATGTATTGCAGCTTGCTCACGACTTTCAGCTATGGAAGCAGGTAAACAATTCCATGGCTTTATCGTCAAGTCTGGTTTCAACAATGATCTCTATGTTGGGAGTTCAATTATAGACATGTATGCCGAATGTGGAAACATAGAAGAGTCAGAGAAAGTTTTTGGTGAACAATCAGAGCCTAACGAAGTAACGTATAATGCCATGATCTGCGGATATGCACATAATGGAAAAGCCCAGAAAGCTATAGAATTATTTGGTGAAATGGATAAGGCATGTTTGATTCCTAATCGTGTAACTTTTTTAGCAGTTCTATCAGCTTGTAGCCATGTTGGTTACTTGGATGAAAGCTTGTATTTCTTCACATTGATGTTCAAAAAATACAAGATTAAGCCAGAATCTATGCACTATCATGTCTGGTTGATGCTTATGGTCGAGCTGGAAGGCTTGAGGAAGCTTACCAAATAGTGGAAAGGGATGGAAGTGAACCAGCATGGAGAACATTACTGAGTGCTTGTAACAACTATGGGAACACAAAAATTGCAGAAAAATCCGCAATGAGACTGGTGGAATTGAATCCCCATGATCATGCTTCATATGTTCTTCTTTCAAATATTTATACCAGAGAGGGAAAATGGGAAGAAGCTGTCAAATGGAGGGCAGAAATGGCTAAGATTCGTGTGAAGAAAGATCCAGGAACTAGTTGGCTGATCTGAAGATCGCAGAAATCTAGCATACAAGCTTGTAAATTGTAGTTGTAGATGAGATGCTTATGGTATTTTATCCATTCAAACAGCTATTGAATTGAACCTCCCTCTCTCCCTCTAGTCCTCTCAAAATGCAAGCTTCTTTCTTCCTCTTCTACTTCCATTTATCAAGATTGAGGATGATTAAAGATGCAGCTTCGCTAACCTATCAGCACTTCTAATAAAGTCTCTATACATGAAATTCAAATTAACAGACCAATTCCTACTAAGAAGCATCCTAGCTTGCTGTAAAATATCCACAAAATGGTGATCCAACACCTCCTCTTTAAACTTAAGAATAATCATGAGTAATCGCATTCGTTGGTTGCAGGCTTCCCCTTCTATATCATCGGGAAGCGAAAGCCAGAAACAGAGTGAGAAGAGGAAGCACTGCTCCGAGTAAAAATATAAGTAAAAGATAACATTTTTACACAAATTTCTTTTCTTTTCCATCTGCCTTTGTCGCGAATTTTTCCCCATCTCTATTTTTCTGTCATAACCTCAAGTTCCTTCGAGGTTGAGGAAAATGGGATTTGATTCCAATGAATACCAACAGACATGAAGTGGGGATAAAATAATAATAAAAAATAATAATAAAATTTCTTTTAATTATATAAATAATATTTTAATCTTTTAAAATATTATAATTTTTTTGAAGTGTTTAAAAATTTTTTTTCTCATAAAAGAATTAATATAAAAGATTAAATTATCATTGATTGAAATAAAAATTTCAAGCCTCAAAACAAATACTTTGTGTCCCTTAATTTATAAGTTTTGTTTTAAGATTTATAATTTTTTTTAAATTGCAAGAATTTAACAACAATTAGTAAGTTTGCATTTAAAATCCTCATATTATCCAATTATTGCAAATGTCATTTTCATTCATAAGTTTTATTTTAATATTCACAACTTTTTTTCATAAAATTACAATAATTCAATAGCAATTTACAAATTCATATTTGAAATTCTAATATTCCTGAAGTGTTGCAAATATCAATTGTTATTCATTAGTTTTGTTCTAATATTTACAACTTTTTTTTTCTTAAAATCACAAGAATGCAACAATAATTCTTATATTCGTATTTGAAATTTTGATATTTTTCAAGTATTGCAAATGTCAATTGTCATTCACAAGTTTTTTTTTTAATATTTACAAATTTTCTTCTTAAAATTGTAAGAATTCAACAACAATTTGTAACTTCACATTTGAAATCCTATTATTCCTCAAGTGTTACAAATATCAATTGCCATTCACAGGTTTTATTTTAATATTCACAACTTTTCTTCCTAAATTACAAGAATTCAATAGCAATTTGCAAGTTTGCATTTGAAATTTTGATATTTCTCAAATATTGTAAATATTAATTATCGCTCACAAGTTTTGTTTTAATACTCACAATGTTTTTTCTTAAAATTATAACAATACAACAAGGAATTATAGTTTATCAGTACCCTACAAAATTGATTAAATTAATAAAAATGAATTATCACTTTAATTCAAGAACTAACAACTTTCATTAATTTAAATGACAAGAAAATCTTAAGAAATAACAACTATCTAAAGTTTTGTGGTCAGTTACATAGGTTTGATAAACTACCCAACATATGAGCTATGACTTTCATCAAAATATCTTACAATATTTTTGACAAAATATATGAAGAGTTGAATCTTCTTCTATACATGAGATGTTTCAGCTATGTCATATTTACAATTCAAAAAATCATTAATCATTCTTGCAAACTATACAAGACAAAAGGTAGCTAAGTTCATAAAATATATAAAAAAAAAAAGATGTTATATCCAAATCACAGCATAGCTTGGATTAGGATTCCTACACCATAATTCATCATAGTATATTTTACCTTCAATATTTTGTACAAATTGTCTCGTTATGTGAAAATTACAAAATAGTTCTTTTTCAAAGCTAGAAGTAGAAGAAGCCATTTTTCATGTCACCTTATAACAATAAAATAGCCATTCATCAATATATTTGTTTTTCAAATATAATGAACACATATCTGTTATATTTTATTCAATAATAACTATTCTTCTCATATGAATGATAAAGGACATTGAAATATCAGAAAATGAATGATAGAGGCTCATCTTGCTGTGTCAAGAGCAATTTTCATTCTCATTATGCCAGGCCAATGCTGCACCATGAGAGGGTCCTTCGACTTGAGCAAAATTTGGAAAACTACAATCTCAGTATTATTCTAATCTACTTATGACAAGGGAAATAAAGCAACAGAACATGAATTCTTTTGCTTTACTGCGTAACTGAGCTTCCAAGAATCCGTTTTGCATCAATTCATAGACAATGAACCTCTTGTCGTCATTTTCACTACAACCCACTATAGAAATTATATTTGGATGCCGAATTTCACTCAATAAATTCACCTCGTTCTACAATTTCATCTTACTAGTAAATACAATAGAGATAAAAAAGAAGAGAAGCATTTGTGAGCCAACATTAAGTACCTCAAATTCGCTTTCAGCACGCTGAGTTTCACAGTATAGTTTCTTGACGACAACATCTACATTCCAACCGAGCCTGGTAAACACATCCAAATGATAATCAATCCTGCCCCAAGATGTTACTTTCTCAGAAATTTTTGGTCGCTTTTTCTATTTGCTTATAATCGATTAATCAATGATTGGAAGAGACCCCTTTTTCCCAACCATTTTTACATAACTGAATTTACTTAAAAACGGAGTAAGCTTAAGCCCTTTCTTTACAGCTGGAATTGAAACAGCACAAAGACATATCACGAAGCTATAAAATGTTAAAAGTTTCCTTTTTTCCTAACACCGACAATTGTGAATAAACAGTACTACCTGAGTTGGGAACGCTTTTTCCTATTGGATTTGGATAGATGCTTCATGCTTCCTACTATAAATCCAGAAGCATAAGAAGCACAAAATGACTACAACGAGTGCTATACTAACAATGGCGAGCGCTATTACCATCTTCTTGTGTAAATCCATCTGGTGTTCTTTATTCTCCACCTGAATACCTGGATGATATGGGACGTATAATAAAGGAAGCATCGTCAAAATGGAAGGAATCTCACGAAGTTAACCATTCAAACTTTGCAAGTTAAGAGACATTCAGCAGATGGGTGGGATCCAAATAAGATAGTAAATATTAAAAAAAAAAAACGGAGAGAGAAAGTAAACGCAAAATCTATCAAATTAAACCATTTTCAGTGGCTGAAAAAACATTAAAACGAAGGAGGAGGAGGAGGAGAAGCAAAAAAGCACACGAAACATCTACTTTGAAGGTTGAAATTTTGATTTCAATTAAAGATAATTTAATCATTTATATTAATTTTTTAATAACAGAAAAATTCTTAAATACTTTAAAAAAATTATAACATTTTAAAAGATTAAAATATCATTTAAATAATTTAAAAAAAATTAATGTCATTTTCTCAATAATAATTGGGCTGCATTTTGAAGGAATTCATTTGTTTTCGTAAATGACATGAATGCCCTTGAAGTTATGTCATATGACACCGCATTAAATCACTACATATAGTATGACAATTTCTTTTTTGATATTGACAATAATTTTTTCTGCATAAAATTAAAGGGTGGGAGAGTTATCAAAAGTTCAAAAAAAGTTGAGTACATTTTTTCCTTTTAACGAATAAAATTTTTAAAATATATTCAATAATAACCAGTTCAATTACAATCAAAGAAAAAAAATTATGAACTGATGACTTCACTAATTCAATGATCAAACTGATTTTCAGGCTCAGATAAGAGCGTAGTACAAGAAGAAAATTATCAGTGGTCAACTCGAGGAATTAGGAGATAATTTTAGAGCTGTAGTGAAATTGACTTGGATTAATCAATATCTAATTTTTACAAGTGATACCAATATCACTATGGTACATGTGCATTATAGAATCACCAATTCTCGCCACCTTCCAGGTAAATGCCCCAAGCAGTTTGCAATCTTCAAGCATTGTAAGACAGACTATGACAACCTAGTTGGCATCGATGAGGCGGCAAATGAATTTGCTAACCCTAGTAGATACTATTAACCAAGGTATTATCCCAACCTGCAATGATATTGAAACATTCAGAGACATTCAGAGAAGGGGGGAGAGAGATCCATGCATTCACTTTAATGTATTACAATTAAGCAAATTTGAGAGGTGCCGAAGCTAGCGTTTTGATCAAATGCCATATCAATCAAAGCAGCGATTGTTTTCAGATAAATTGGTTGTGCAGATTGGCTCCCCAAGATATTGACACACATGAATGAAAAACATCTTCTTAAACCAAGTAACAAGGGAAGGTATTTAGAGTTTTTTACCGTGATTTTGTTGTTTTGAACCCCTCCCCCTCTCCAGGATAATAATTTCCCTACAAAAGAACGCAAGATAAGTTTCCAAATTAACACGAAAGGCATGCTTGTCTTCATTAGAAAGTTTTATCAGAATAACTAAACAGGAAAGTATGCCAGTAAAATCACGTTGGCTTGAACCAACCAAGTGAGATAGCATAACATAAAATAAAAACTAATCTGTATTACCGAAAGGTTGCACAAGTTGCTGCGATATAGTAGCCACAGGAACCCTCCAAAACCAGATAAGCAGCACTAGATATATTAAAACCTACATTGCACAATCAAATAAATACCTCATGATAGCCTCAATAAAGAACATATGTGAACTCCTTGGGAAAAAAGGTTTATATAAGAAAACACCTTTGAAATGAGTAGAATTCTCGAGTATGAATCATTCTCCTTGTTCTGCATATCTTGATCTGCAATTAAAAATTCGAGCTATAATACTTCCAGTCCACAGGATTGTAAGACTATTAAAGCAGGATAGGCAACAACAAAAAAAATTACAATACCCGAAAATGAAAACAAATTATAGAGTAATGAAAAGGGAGAGACGGTGACTATTACCAATTCGTAATTTGTCTCAAAGTTATTTTCATCTCTATCCACACGTAGTATGTGGAACCAAATAATAAAAGTATGAGGACTACTAAAAATCGTGCTCTTGAATATCTTCAATAACCATAGAGTTCAAGAATCTTCAAAGTGCTTTTTACTTCATTTCTAATTTTTCTTATTATCAGGGCATAAATTTCTTCATTCTTTCTCTCTTCCTAGCAAAAGATATTTTCACATAATGCAGACAAAAGAATTCTTATGTCCTTGAAAGTCATCATTCTTCTTGAAACACTTCCGTAATATTTCTACATTGCAGCACCAGGTCCCATGATTAGGAGAAAAATAAAAGGGAATGAGACAGAATATCTTTAAAATCAATTCTGCTATAGATGTAAAGTACAAATTTACCACCTAAATGCAGACGGCACTGTTCAGTTTGACAGTTTCAATCACTAGTGCATAACAACATTAATTACTAAATCCTTCTAAAAATTTATATAGGACTGGTAGTATAAATAGTATGAGAATTTTTTGCTTCTTTTGGTGAATAATAAAGGTATGAGATCCTTAAATACTGCCAAATTGAATAATTTTAAATAATCTTCCGTCATAATTTGACAAGTAAAACACCTTTCATCACCTCCAAAATCCAAATTCTTCAACAACGTAACCAACAGTTTATTATTAAAAAAAAGTTTCAAATTTGGCTATTGCTACATGTCAGTATGTAATTACAAAGAATGTAAGATGTTTGGAAGTGAAACAGGAAACAATCTCACAGTTTGCAAGTTCCTTCTCCTTGGCAGCTGCTACTCTTTTAAGTTTTGCTGCTTGTGCAAATGTCGATGGCCTGTAACCACAAGAGACTGACTCAACTATTCCATTCATATTTGAAATTCCAAATGTTACGTCAGCACTCTATAAGCAGACACATCCTTATTAACATCTAAGTTAACAAATCTAAGAAGACAAAACAAATTATGTAAATAACCAGTGATTCAAAAATAACAATCCAATACTTGATTACAATAAACATTTTTGAGATTGTTAAGATATTAGACGAGGTTCATATATTGGTTGACTCAAAAAAAATAAAAAATAAAAAAAGGAAATCTGGAACAGAACAAAGGTTCCAAGTTTCAGCCAATACTATAGCTTATTCAAATTCAACAGTCTATTTGCATGCATGTGTACAATTCTGCAACGAGGGGAGAAAAATATGTGATATTAAAAGTTGAATCAAGCTCATTAGTGAGCTGCAATCAAATTCTTAATGCAACCACGATCTGAAATAACTTTTAGTTACTCATTAAAAGAATACACATGGACAAGGTAACTACATTTGAGTAGTTTAAAAGCTCTACCATTTAATATGAGAAAATTTCACACGCCATGAAATCCTTGAACAAAGAAAGCCAATCAAGTGACAACTCTTGCTCAATAAAGCGGAAGAAAGTTAAACCTCAAGCTGGAAAGCTATTGCCAATAATGACAAAAAAATAACTATATAAAAATATCATAACCTGTTAAATTCAAAATTCCTTTTACTCAGAGGGAAAAAAAAATTCCTTGCATCACCTGCATGCTCTGCTAGAAGTGTTATTGGCTAAAACACATGGATTACTTACTGTGACAAGGAGCTTGCCTCCTTATAGAGCTCCTTTATTTCTCTACGCAGCCGAGCCTCTTTCCCATTCTTGGATCCCTTCTATGGCAAAAGCATATCACTAAAAGAAATGAGTATTGCAATCAACAATTAATGCATTACAGAGCACGTGCTACCTGGCACCTTTGAAGGTTTTTTCATCTTGGATAAAAACCAAGCCCAAATGAAGGTACTAAGGATTCAGATTATTTTGGTGCAAAAGGACAATACATTATTGCAAAGAAAATGTATCCATTTTGTCTCATGAAATGTCCACAACCTTGCATTGATCAATTATCAGCACTGGTCATGGTGCGCTTTGACAGTTGCATGGGATAGGATAATAAAGTTCAAAATATTCAGCTGAAGAAAATAATAGATTATTTACAGGGTTAGAAACTCGACAATTCAACTAAGAACAATTACAATTTAACCAGGAATACCACCATTAGTATTTTAGTATATAGACATACAGAAGTGCATAACATCATAGTTATGGTTAATTTGCATTTGACAATCTCAATAATACGCCCTACAATCATTCCGTTACATTTTTGACAGCCAATATTTTGGACATGGCTATTTTGCATTTGACAATCTTGACAGTAAGCCTTCCGAAAGCATAGAAAATTTATCAGTTATATAATTGGAACTACTAGACATGTTTCCATGCATTGGAAAGAGTCTGAAGTAAACTAGACTGTTAATGGTATGTGAATAATGAAACTTGCTATGCATTTTAAATTATTTATTGATATTGATAGTGATATATTGATTCATGATAAGATTTTGGGCATGGAAAATGGCGGAGAAAGTTTGCAACATAATTATCAAAAAAACTAAAATGAAGCATAAGTGTGGTTTAGTGCAAAATCATCACGCTCTACTATCCCAGCACTTGGGAAACTTCAATTTCAAATAGTAGCGTACAAGACCAGGCAGCGTGTCCTATTTTCCATGAAAGAGCAGAGCAAAAACAATTAAACAGAGCGGCAATAACTGAAAACTATTTCCTAAGCCATGTTCAGAAAACCAAGCTTGGCTGAATGTCATAGAAACCCAAATCCTGCACGCCAGCCACAGAATATCACTATGCCTATGCACAAATACTATGCCACGTAGTACACAGTTCTATTGAGCACGCTCAAATAGCAAAAGACAGATAATTAAATATGTCCAAATCCATATTTTAAAATTATGATCCATACGCTTACAAAAAACTATTTTCCGAAAAAGAGGAAATTGATTTTCGTAAACATCATCAGAACAGTAACATGAGTCGGGCCCAAGAAATTTCAAATTAGGAAGTATATTTCAAAATTTTCATCTCACGCTTGCTGTTGTCTCTGTCAAACACAATCTTAGAATGATGAAGATGGTAAGAAGAGGTTCAATGATTACCTTCTTCAACTGATCGAGCCACCTAGATGCAAGCTGAAAACCGACAACGATCAAAAATATCAACGGAGCTGCTACCGACCGTTGATGTTCTAGGGATCCTTCGTCTCCCATGATTCACTCTCCGCCCTGATTCAGTTTCAACTTTCCAGGTAGGGTGCATACGAAAACGGATTTGGAACCCAGAAAGCCTCGCCGAGATATTCAGGCAGCCTCTTTTTTTTTTTTTTTTTGTTTTTTGGTTTTGTTCTTGTTTTGCCCAATTTTTATATAACTATTTTTTGTCATTTAATTTATTTATTCATTCATTTCAATTTTTTTTGACACATTACTAATTTGAGTTATTTCAGTTCAATCCATTTCTTCTGGAAAAAAATCATAATAAAAATAAAAATACATTTCAATTCTTTGTAGTTTACGTAATTTAATTTATTATATTTAAATATTTTTAATATAAAATAATGAAATTTTTTATGCAGTAAATGTATCTTAATTATCGATTTTAGTCCTTTAAATTTAATCATTTTATTTGGTTCCTTACTTTTTTTAAACTATCATTATTATATTAGTATTTATATTTAAAAAAAAACAAATTTATTCTTAAATTACTAATTTGCAAAGTATTTTGATTACTTGATATACATGTTTAGCTATATAAAAATAAATCAGTTTGATTTTTTAATCTAATTTCTTACATTGCATTTTGTTCTTTTTTTTATTTCCAAGCTTTTTTCTATTTAAATATTATTTTTTTCATTAATCTACATTATTATTACCAATATTTTGTTACATTTATCGACAAATTTAACAGTGTTATTTTTATTTAAATAATAAAAACCATATTGATAATTAGGCAAACTTTAGGATCAAAAATTAATAAAAATCAAATTTGAGAAGTTATATTGATAATTGAGATAAATTTAAGTGATTAAAAATTTCATTATCTCATTAAATATTTTTAAAACTTGATAGTTGGTAGAAAGAAGTAGGCTTGAGTTCCATCTAAATAGATCTTTTAATTAAAATTAAGTTAGTTATTATTTGTAAAAAATGAATTGATATCTCTAAAACATCTATTCTTTTAATCATTTGCATTAAAAACTAATCTTATTATAGATGCAATCAATAAAGATAATTTAGAGAAAAGGAATAAATGTGAAAAACAAATGAGAGACTGATACATCTTTACATTTAATACCAAAACAAACTCCTTAAATAGTAGAAAAACAACATCTAATATACTTAACTAGCTCTTACAATTAAATTAAAGAGAGTATTAAATATAAGTAAAATGGCATAACCCCAATTAGTACCAGTTAACCTTGTTTAAAAAAAACAGTAATACCAATTAACATTAACACATAATATAATTAAGGGCCTCACCTATCTAGCAAACTAGTTCATAAGGTGACATTTGATGTAAAAGTTATTGATAAATAATAATCTTCAAATGCAAGAATTGAATTTTACGAGAGATCCTATGGTCAAAAAGGATTCAATCTCCTTATAACTCTACACAACAGTGTACAACGATCAAGTGAATAGAATAAAACATTGAAATTCAATAAATTGTTGAGATAGTCTATAGTTTATATTACAAATCTTAATTTTAATATGTCTTTAAAATAACTATTAAATATAGGACAACTATTCAACAATTATTTCAAGAAAAATGTTGTATAGTTTATTGAATTGTTGGAATGTTTTATAACTGAAATAAAATATATAATGATTATTTAAAAATAACTGTTGTGTAAAGCCAATTTATATAGCAGCTAATACAATGTAAATATTGCTTCGAGACTATATAGCACCAACCGGTATATATAGGGGAAAAAAACTGCCACATAATTTTTTTTTTTAAGTAATGAATTAAAGTGGTGGTTAATTTTCTCCGGTAAAGTAAAGAAAATCTGGTAACTTTGTAAAATATCATTGGCCAACTCTTGTGTCGTTTCCTTATTAATTAGTAATGGTGTTGTAATTATGGCTCATGAATTAACAAAGCATAAATCAGATTTTGCCTCTCTACCCAAATCTCTATCTTCAATCGCAAGTTATATAATTTTTTACATGTTTTGACTCATCTTCAAGTGATTCTATCATTCTAAGATAGACCAAACAAGGATTCAGTTTCCTGCCAAGTCAGACCATGATATGGGAAATTAAAGCATGAATAGGGAAGTTTTGTTTATTTCAAAGCCAAAATAATGGACCATAGATCAAGCTTTGAACCTCTGCACTAATTTACTCATCAAATATTTACCAATAAAGCATTAAGCCAAAAAAAAAAAATCGACAGGGAACTTTTTTAAATAAAACTAAAGGTTATGAAAAAAATCATGCGGAGAAAAATAGACTGAGAAGCATGTATTAATTATGAACTTTATCAACTAACCTTTTGTAACTTACAGAGTAGGAACAGGATATAATGCAACAAATTGAGAAGTATTAATCGTGTGCCGATCTAACAAACCAAATTGTGCATTCATTCGCGTCAGGACAACGTTCTAGTCCGTAGCAAATTAAAGAACGTTACCCTCTTATATGAATCGTCAAGTTTTCTAGCAAGTGGTCTGCAATTGATAATCTCTCTAGATCAGAGAAGTATATTATACGTATGCGCACGCGCGCGCGCGCACACACATATTACGTGTTAATGCATGGTTCCTAATTAAGTATTCTTCTCTCTGGAATAAGAACTCCACCATTTTTATGTGCATGGTTAGCCGGTTTCATCATGGTCACATTTTCAAGTTGTCGAAGGGAAGTTACTCGAGGACTGAGGTCATCTCGATTCTTTCCCATTTTAATTTTATATAATTATGTAAATCAATTTATTTTAACATTCTTAATATCATCGATCCGCAAAATTAGTAGCCTTTCCAATACTATCCATTCCATTACAAAATTGTCTTTCATCCAGTGTCTTTATAGTAGTCATGCTCCATACATTAGTTGTATTATCATGCCATAAATGGAGACGAAACAATTCAAAAGACTGTCGAATCATCAAGCAAAAAGAACATGAAACATGTACTCTTAAGAAATATCTACAAAATAACAATCATCTGCGCTTGATGAGTACTTTGCATGCTCGCAGCATCATGACACCAAGCCCAATGGACAATGCTCTAGTCCAACCCAAAAATGGCAGCACGGGAAATAATTTACCAAAAATTTAATATATATAATAATCAAACCTATATATGAATAATTATTATATGGAGTTATGGACTACCCTAGGATTCTATCTCCTGTTTTCTCATCTTCTTTACTACTCGTCCGCGTCTTCCTACTGCAGAAACAAACACAATAAAATCAATATATCTGGATCACATCAGTACGTAATCCCCTAATAAAGCATTACAAGATAATTATAAATGTGAAATAATATGCAGAAAGGAAACTACATTTAAAGATGGATATTGGCTCACTAACTAAGAAAAATATTATGCCTAGAAAATATAATTAAATTTTTAAAAATTTGAAAGAGTGGCCGTTTCATATTGATATATAAAAAATTTATCATTAAAAATTTAAAAATTTATAAGAGGTTTATCATTAATAAAAAAATATATCATTAATAAATATAATAAACTAGCCAATGGTTACAAAGCAAAATACAACAAATGTCGTGTTGCTTGTTTGGTTTAGTCTTGTGTTATATCTATAAAAGTCCCTTTAAAAATCAATTAGCCTCTGGATTCTGGATGTTAAATGAACTAAATTTTTCCTTAAAAGTCATGGATATTTTAAAAAAAAAGTACAATAAATTACAAATATGAGAATGTTATGAAAAATTCGATAAACTTACTATTAAAATTTTAAAAAATATTTTCTTCCAAAAGATTTTTAAAAAGTATATGCAGTCTCGTGAAGCCTGACAATGAATCACAATGTTTAGCATTGATAAGATATATGTAATAATACGCCAGAATAACGTGATACATTTTCTAGGGGAATGCTGTAACTTTTGCATGCAACTACGTACCTCTTCGTTATCATCATTATCATCGTTGTTGACTTCTGACTTAGGTTTATCAGACTCTGCTTTCTCTGAAGGATTTTTGCCCTCAGCCTAGCACATCGAACACCAGGGGCATAAAAAATTAAAATATACCAGAAGAAGAAGATCCCTATAGAAATAAATCAATGCCAGAAGCCAATGGAAGCAGTAGTCAAAACGAAAGAGGGAGAAGGTAAGTAATAACCAATCTCATATTGTACGCTTTAATAGTTTTATCGTATTCCGCTTTCTTCTTCTCTGCCTTGGCGATGAAGGGAGCTTTTTCCTGATTATATATTAACCACAAAATTCATCAATCCATCATCATTACACCCATGTATATCATTGTATAATATAAAATCCATAATAGTCTCGCTATTTATAAATAACCGAGTAACATTATTCACTTCATATTTCGTGCCAATTAAGGAGAAAAACAAAACATTGTTCATCTATCACTGAATCATATATAATTAATTCAAAATTATCTCCAAGAGAAAGAAAACTGTACTCACAGCATCAGACATGGCTTTCCATTGATCACCACCAGCTTTACCGACCTAAAGCATTTTTCACATAGTAACGACTACGAATTAATTAAAACACTCAACAAGTCCGCGATCTGAAAACATATAAGCTAATTAATTAAAGAGAGAATTATTGTAGACACTCACAACAGTGACTGATTTATTGTCCGGATGTTCCCTCTTATACTGCTCTCTGAACTCAGACCTGTGTGATCATATATAATCATATCACAACATTATCAAACAATAGAAATCCATAAACAGAACTGAATATTGCAATCGGTTAACAATGCAACAATATAATGAACAAGTCAAAGTTGAAAAATTATCAAAATAATTCGTACATAAACACAAAGAAAGCGCTCGGAGGCCTCTTTGGCTTGTTTGGATCCTTTGCAGCTTTCCTCGACCGCTTTCTTCTAACTCCAGCGCCCTTGCGCTTCAACCTGACACATCCAATATCAAAAGAAAAATCATTATCATAAACAAACACAACAATAAATCCATAATTGTAGGCAGAATCGCACAATTGAAACCGCTATAACCTATTATACATATAATAAACGGTGCAAATGTGTCCCAGTCTAATGAGAAAGAAAATCAGGAGTCGGAAAGAAATAACGGAAATTGCAAGAGTGCAAAACGAGAAGGAAGCGTACCGATTATCGTCGGCTGTGGAGTCGGTCTTCGCTTTAGGCATGGTGATCGTGGAGGGAAGCGACGGAAGACGCCGAGGACGAGTGAGAATTAAATCGGTTTTGGAGGGACGGACTTGAGACGTAGGGTTTCGGGAGGAGAAGATTGAAGATATGACACGGCGCCCTTCGCGTTGTTTGTGTATGTGGGCTTAGGCTAGAGCGCGGGATAGTGATAAGATTAAGAATTGAAGCCCGGATTTAGGCGGGATTCTCATCAAATTCGTCGTGTGCGAGTTACATGAGATTTATGTATTATATATATATATATACACACTATTTAAATTTTTTCAGCTTAGCGAATAAATTTATGAATTTAAATTTAAATTTTATTTAAATTTAAAATCATAAATTTAAAAAAAATATTTGTTTAGATAATATAAAAATTGTGAAGATAGAAAAAAGATGAGTTGAATTTTGAAATATAAATGAAAGATTAAAAGAGACAAATTTACTTCTACTCTTTGATTAATAAGAGATGAAAATAACATGCAATAATAGTGAAGCACGTTTAAAAACAAGAGAGTTGTAGTAATTGAAATTTTAAATAATCAGGATCTAAAAAAAATTGAAATTACAAAAAAATTATAATATAATATGAATTTGGATTGGAATATAGACTTTTATGTATTTAAATAAGAAAATTAATTCAGATATAAATCTAAATTTAAATCCTGGTACATCCAAACCAATATGTTTTTTTGGGAATAATATATTATTATAAAATTTCGAACTTATGACTATTATAGAGTTTTGATAATCTGTGTGCTCTCTCAACTCTCATTATCCATTCCTGGATTAGTCTTGATGCTATTGGTCCAGAGAAAAAAAGAAAATTCTTTTATGTATTTTCGGGCTAAAAATACAATAGCGAGTTTTCTGATGGCGTGTAGTGTTCCCCATACGTGAATTTATTTATTTATTTATTTTTAAACTGAAGTGATTTATTTATTTATTTGGCCAGAATCCCCATACATGATTTGGTTTGATGATTTCCATCATCATATGACACATGCTGCTATTGATTTCCGGGGACCGTATATGTCTAACTAGAACGGACAACTTGTCTTTCTTAATTACTTCGTTTTATGGCGCTTATTTTGTCCATATATTTTAAATAAAATGTACATAAATTGAGCAGTTACAATATAAATTAATTCTAAATCGTCTCTTTATGCAAACATTTAAAAAAACTAAAAATATGAAAGTGTGTGTGTGTGTGTGTGTGTGTGTGTGTGTGTGTAACCCAATCATTGGTGAGGATGCTTAGATCTTATAACTAAATAACTGATTATATATCTTATATATTATCTATATTGATATTAATATACTATTGTATTACTGTTGATTGTTGATATGCTTCATATTTTTTATATATAATTATCAAATATTCAATACTATCCAATTATATTTAAGTATTATAAAAATATCATATGCCTTTCTTAATTTCTTTTTCTTGTAATGTTTATCTCGTCTTTACAGTTTATAATTATATGTTAATCAATCAATATTTATATTCTTTTATTACTTTTATTTTAAAAAAATATGAGATCCTGACTATCATATCAATCTTCCTGGGGCTAGATTTTACGAGAATATATTTTTACTTGTGCAGTGCTATAAAAACTTGAAATATTTTTGAATATTTGTAATGATCTTTTATTATTTGAAGTATTATTTGAAGGGTAAGCATAAAATAAAAAATTAAAACTATTAAAATAATTTATTTTTCTGTTCTTGTAATATGTCACTTTAAGTAAAATTTAAACTTAAATAAAAATTTATTTTTATTTTAAAATATGTTGCTCTCATAATGGATTTAAAAAACAATACCTACATTTTTGCTATTCCTTCAATTTATATGAGTGGAAAATTTTAAATTGTGTTAAACAATAAATTTTCTGTTAAGTTCTACTCCATAATTAATGGAAGAAGAAAATTTATTCTTCAACGAATATTATTAGATTTGACACTATTTGCTCTATCTAGATTTCTAAGCAACAATTCTCATTTGACAATGTATTGCCCTCATGTATACTGAAAATTATAAATACTTTTTAAATTTAGAAAGCTTATTTTCTTTAAGAATTTGTTGGTCCATACCTCATGAGAAGAATAAAATATATATCATAATAAATCATACACTATAATTTATTTTGTAATAATATTTATAAATTATAATTATAGCCAAAAGTAAAAATAAATATGAATAGTAATTTTAAAATAAGCAAGTAAAATAACAATTATTATAGTGCCATTTATTAATCATATATATGCCTATAATGACAAAAACAACAACTAAGAGAGGTTAAGGATTAGGAGGTGTGTAATGAGAAATAAATCCATCAACCTCATAGGATTAAATTTGAAATACGTGATTGCAATATTTTCAATAGGTTTTCAAATTACAGTGTGCTTATATATATATTAATGATAAATAATAAATTTGTTACTTCATGCATGTTAAGAATATCAACAATAACTAATTTTATTTTCATATATACTATTTTATAATATGGTATTCCTGTATATATGAAAAATATAATAAATAATTTGTTATATATCCAATGATGTGTTATTCTCACATAAATTAAAATTTAAATAACTGGTTACATTTAAAAAAAATTACGTACAAATTGAAAACATAAATAACATCCCGTTTATATTAAAAACTTGGATATAAATTCTCTAAAGTTGATGTTTGTAAATTTAAGTGAGGTTTTTCTTTTATTAATATTTTTTTTCATTTTATCATTTTTATAAAATATAAAAATTTATCTTTTTTCCTTTAAAAGGAAAACTTCACATAAAATTACAGATATCAACTTTAGATAATTTAAATCATAAAAAATTATATATAAAAAAATTTTACCTGTGTTTATTAAAAATATAAAAAATATTTTATTATTTCTATATAAGTTATTTCATATAAATTGAAATTTAAACAATAAAACATTCTATCTTATAATTTGTTATTTAACCTTGTATTTTATTGTACAATTTATTATTTTATATCTATACAAAATATAAGCAATAAATAATATATCACGTGCCTATCATTTTTTTTTATAAATCTTACATTTGCTATTAATTTTTTTTATCATGAACCTCACATTTATTTTTTTTCCTTTGCTATGAGACTCACATGATATTTCAACATACGAAAGATTTAAAAAAAAAATCATTAATGTTCGTCTAGTTATAGATGAACAATAACAATGATATACTTTACGCACATGTATATAAATAAATAGATATATTTAGCCTATATCAAGTGGACCTTTTCATATGTCAAGTTTTCACTTTCTCATATAAAGGCCGAAGATTTCAAACCCCAATCATTGAGATATTGATTCACAAAGGATCTTTCTCACACCATTGTTTGCAAAATTGAACCGAACTAGCCAAACCAGTGATTCGACCATGTGTCCAATTTGATTTTTTGGTTTCAAGTGGATACAAATGACTTGGGTTAACTCAGGAGACTTGGATTAACTCCAAATCAACCCGCCTAACCCGTGATTTATGATAATTTTTAAGCCCAAAATGATGTCATTTTTAGGATGAGAAATAATAATAAAAAAGATAGAAACAAAAGCCCTAGCGTGCATCGTGTTTTGGTGACTTCAGCCATTCAGCGACGATCCTTCAATCTCCTTCTCCTTCACTAATAGAGGTAGAAATAAGCTAAGTCAAGTTAGTCTTTGACTAAATAAGCCTGAACCTGTGTGGTAAATTAAAGGCCTAAATTTGTATAAAGCTTTTTTTATGGCTCAAGTTTGAGCTTACCTAAAGCTTAACCTAACCTAAAAGCCTACTTAAAAGCAAACATTTTAAATAGGCTCGCATTTTAGTTTTAAACGTCTTAAACATACTTTAGAACTGTTATAGGATACAATATAAAACCTGATTTATAAATTACAATGTATAATAATTAAAATAACTTATCAACTACAAAGCAATATAACAATAAAGTAATAATATTAAAATTAATATATAATTCCAATATAATTGAAAATATAAGTAGAAATAAAAAAAGAATAAATTGTTTAAAAATCAAATGGCAAAATTGATTTGTTTGTGATGTATTACATTATATGTTTGTGCGTGTGTAAATAGGTCGGCATGTTAGACTTATAGGTTAGGCCTTAAAAAATAGACTTGACTTATTTAACTAAGTAGGTCTAATTAAAAGCATGAATCTATTTTAAGCCTATTTAGTAAATGATTAGGCCGAGCCTGAAGTAGGTTAGGTTATAGGCTCCTGTTAGGGGCTTATCTTATTCCCACCCCTATTCATAGATTCATTTCTTATATCTAATTCTTTGCTCGTTCTCAAGGTCTTGATCGAGCTCTTTTTGTCCCTCGATGTTCCTTAGTATCCATCATATGTCTTGCCTTTATGGGTTTCGTCTTCGTCTACGATGACTCTACCTCATGCCTTCACATCCTTATATAGCTTCTCTCTTTCATCTCTCCCTTCCTCCTCGATTCAGCTTTTGATACTTGGTATTGGTCACTTAGCTCACTTGTTTACACATCATATTTGAGCTTGCTATGCTGAAATATTTGGAATCATCCTTCTAAATTGTTGTGCTATTGTCCTATAATTAATGTTTACTTCCTTTTGAATGGGCTTTTGAGTTAGTGGCTTCAAAATTGTAGGAATGTTAATGAGTTAATGAAGATTTTGGTAGTGATTATTATTAATTTTAGACCTTTTGATGATTAAAGTATTGTAATGATAAATATTTTAAACGTTGTTGAGATTTTTATGATGTTTTGATAACTGTGTTGTACTTGTATTTGATATTGTACAATATATCAAGTCTTAGATGATATATTTTTATTTAAATTACATTATTTCATTATAATCGATCTAACTCTGGATTGACCCTCGATTTGAATCCTTGACCCTTAACCTCAACCAGTTTAATGATTGATCTGGTTTTCAGTACATTGTCTTGCACTCATATTCATCCGGGAAAAAAAAAAGCTATTATACACTCCTTTTCATATTTAATTTATTTCATGTACAAGTGACCAAAACTTGGAAACAACTCAAAATTGTCTACCTATGAGAGGTAACTTGGACACCTTTTACATATTTTTTGAAATTGAAATATTTTCATTCACTAGGAAAAGAAAAGGAATAATTATAAGTAAGGACAAAATAAAATATCACCAATTACCTTTTATCATTGGGAAAATGATAGTTAGGTTTTAAAATAGTAAATTAATACTAGTTAAATCTCTAACAAATTTTTTTAAAAAATAAGTTGAAAATATTGATCCACATTGTTACAAATCTAGGAGTTTTAATTACAAATAAGCATTTAAATATCAATGTAACTTTTAGATTGTAACAAAAATTTTTGTTTATAATTGTTTGAATTAATATTTATAATTTATTTTGTAAAAAAAAATTTGTGTAAGACTTAACTAATATTAATTTACTACTTTAAAACTCAACTGTCATCCTCTTTTTGTCATTTGTCTACTCCAACTAAGGAGAAGGAGTGTGGTCAAGGATACAAAATTTAATGACAAGACTTAAGCTTTCCTAGCTAAACTATTGTTTTTCTTACGAACAAACATTAAGGAAGCATGCCTAAACTTACCCCTAGAAAAATCACAAATCCCTATTCCCTATGTAATATCATAAAGAAATACTTAGAGATATGATCTATTGTATAAGATTTATCACTAATAAAGTATTGAAAATTGAAGTAATCATTGAATTAGTTAAAATTATAGATCAGAGATTAATGGTTTAATTGAGATTGAACTGAAATCAAACCGATCATAATAAAATAATTTAATTTAAATAAAAATATATTAATCCTTAAATATTCTTCCATGTTCAATATTTAATAGCCACCAATGTTTTGGAACTACTGCATTATGCAATAATGCATATATGTGTGCGCGTGCACATAAAATAAATAATATAATATAAATTTTTTTAGTCTAATCAGGATATATCGTCCAAGTAAATAAAATTAGAGTGGCCAAAATCAGAAAAAGAGTTAAAGCTTAAGGGAAAGACACGCTGCACGCAACTTGTCAATCACTCCCTTTCTTTTTCTCTTTATCCCCATCTTTCACCCTTCACGTCGCTGTTCCCTCCCTCGCTCTTTGCCTTTTTTCTTCTATGAGAAAGAAAAGCTTGAATTTATCAAAACAAAAACCCAATTGTTTCTTCGGTATTTGTGGATATTTCTTTCTTCATCTCATTCTCTATTCTTTTACATGCCATTTCCCCTCTTCCATCTTCTATCATCAATCTCCACACCTTTACATCTCCTAACCTTCATTTCAAATACACTTAACTCTAGATTTGGGGGTGACAGTGGAAACACCAGGAAGAGAAGGGAACCAAATAGCAAAGATGAGCAGCACTACCATTGAGGGGGGAGGGAGACCACTAGTCAAAGTGATAAAGGTCCTTTGATCTGACCTTCTAAAGCAAAATGCGATTCGAGCTTTTTTTTTTTTTTTATTTTCCTTTGGTAAAAAAATCAACCCACTTGACTTATGAGGCTGGGTGGGTTAATTTGGATCATTGCCACCTTTAACTAGAAAATTAGACCGAACAATAGGCTGAGTTATTGGTTTGATTGGGCGATCCATTTGATTTTCAAAACAACAATTGCCACACATTTATATTAAGTATCAACAAAGAAGAACACCTTTGTCTCAGCATAACTCAAGTCCTTTATGCATGTTTAGAATTTTCTCAACTCTCCTTTGATTTGCATGAAAATAAGGCTGGAAAAAGGAAAAATGGGATAAGGAAATGGTAATTTAATTGGTTTGGTTGGTTAGGTTTTTAATTCTTGGGAGGAATTTTTCGGATAAAAGGTATAAATTGCCAAATTGGATTCTAACATGGACTCGCTTGAAAATTATGAGCATGTTTAAAATTATTTTTATTTTAATATTTTGAGAATTAATATTTTATAAAATATATTTTAAAAATAGAAAAATAATAAACATATATTCCTTGTTTTTTAAAATAATAATTCGGGAACACTTAAAAATTATTTTTATTTTTTATTTTTTAAAATAATATTTTTTTAAATATTTTTTTAAAAATATGTTATCAAATAATTTTTTTTATTTTGAAAAGCAGAAAATTGTTTCGTTTTAACAAACGTACCCAATTTTCAAATTAAAATTTTTCTGCCCATTTTGTTCATTTGAAAAACTTGTAAACCCAAAATTACCCTTGCCTAACACTACCAGCGCCGACCTCCTTCCCTCCCTCTCACTGTCGTCCTCCTTCTTCCTGATCTGAACTCCGCCTTTGGTCCCTCCCTCCGCCATCCATCGTCCACCGACGCCAACTGTTCACATCTCCATTGTCTCCTTCCATTTCTCGTCCACCTCAATCGTCTTCTTCTCCATACTTCTCCTCTGTCTGGTGTTCGATGAAGATCGATAGCTCTAGCATCAAGTTCGAAGATCACAGGTGGTGACGATTTGTCACAAGCATCGACATATTTTCATTTGAAATCTTGCATGGAAGGCACCCGATTTCAGAAGAATTTTCAGAAATTTGCAATAGTTCTTTAGGCACGTGTTTGTTATTTTTGATTGATTTATTTAAACTGGCACAGATATTTTTAAAAAATTTGACTTTAAATTTTATAGTCTCATGATTTTAATCCAACATTATTTAGGTCCTGTTTGGTTTTTTGAATTTGAGGAAAATGGGGAAATAAACGGGATGGGAAAAGCTCATTGTTGGACGCCTTTCACAACTATCAACGCTGCGTGGTTGTTCCCTGGCAAGTATTACAGAAGTTCAAACCCTAGGGCTCTGTCATCTCCCAAAATCCGGCGAGATTGACATGTCCATTCGTTTGAATATTGACGCTTTTGAATCTGGGAATATATACAGGTCGAGTTTAACTTTTCTTAACTTTCATTACTAGTTTTTGCTTGAATAGTGTGTAATTGGCTGTTATACTTCTGCCCTCTTCATTTTGATTACTAGCGACTTATATGCCTTGGATTGTGTTGTTGTGCAATGTTGAATTCGTTGTGTGCTGGTATTCTGAATAGCTTCGCGATATTTTGAATCTATTTGGCTATACATGATTTTGATGGTAAATATTGAGATTGCAGTTAGACCGTATATGAAGGCAACCCATTCAGTTCCTGTGAGAAGCGAGATTGTAAACATTGGCAGGTTCCAATAGGATAGAATGGTTAGCCAAGGCGACGATAACAATAACAGTGTACAGTCCTGCTGCTTGTTGGAGGTGCTTTGGCAGTACACCGTTAACGATGGCAAGAGGCATTTCTCTCTGCCATTTGTTCTTCTTGACGTTTAACTTCACCATCATTTCTTCTCCCTTATTTCTTTGTTGCCTCTCTTTTCAATGCTCGGCTGGTGTTTCTATCTCAATTCTTACATCGAAATTCAACACGAACATGCAGATCCCTACTTATTTGATCTCATTTCTGCTTTCTGTTCGCGTAGAAGTAACTCTTAAGCGGAATGGATCTTGGTCATTTCTTGCTATTACTTGCTTGCCATTAAACTAATGCGTTCACATTCTTCTTGATCCTTTTTGGGGCAAATTATAAATTTAAGTAAAAGAAGTTGATAAAGAGCCAATAAGTATAATTATTTATCTTAATTACTGGGTTTTTTTCTGAATTCTTCATTGTGATTGCAGGTTTAAAAAATAATTGTTGAATTTCTTTGTTTGGAAATGGTCAAATTTTCCATCAGCAATGCCAATTATACTTACGTGCATGACCAGAACGATCCCTCTGACACAATTGACGTACACCATATAATGGTGAAAAGGAGTGGCGCAAAATCTCTCTTTGTTTACATCTCAGCATTTGTTCTATTAGCATCTGCCTTCTATCTCTACGCGTATGAGGTGTACTTTTCACTTTTTTTGGTTTAAATAAATGTTGTCTTAGCAGATCTCTTTGAGCATCATTGCTAGAATTTTCTGTTCTAAATATTGATCTTTTGGGCCTATTTTCAAGTTTCAAATTAAAGCGGTACCCATGGCTTAGCTCTGTAGTTCGAATTAGCTTTAGGAAGCTGAAGCCTCGACCCCACAATGTAACAAGAGGAAGATAATTTAAAAAAAAAAAAAAAGCTTTAGTGGGTAACAATTTGTTTCTTTGGAAAAGATAAATTCAAATTTTTTAGTATGTAATATAATGCAACATATAGTTGCTCGCCCAACATCAAAGGATGTCTTAATTCTTAAATCTTACTGTGATTTCAACCTAAATTTACAATTAAAGTTCAATAGAACTTTTACTTCTGTTCTTGTTTCTTTTTTCACTTCATTTTATCTGACCTTAAGCCCTGCAATGAACAGGGAAAGTCGATTACCCTTGTCTATTACAGCTTGCTTTTCAACTTAATATCTGTCAAGATCTTACTTTGGAGGCCTGTTGAGAAAGGTGAGGACCTTCCAAAAGGGCTTTTTTACTCTGAAAGTTTGATTATTATTCTTATGGCTGCCAGCTAGAAATCAGGATAAATTATGTAATGTTCTGTTTCAGTTTTGGAATAAAATTATGTGATCTTCACCTAGTTTGTGTTTCCAAACAGAGTCTGTTGTGATAATGCCAGCTTTTGGAGTACAGCTTGAGACTCACTACATGAGGTAATGCTTTCTTATTGATTGATTCTTCAGTCAACACGCTTTTAGTTGAGGGCATTCATGAAGCCTAAGGTGTAAGAATGTTTAATATCTATCCAAAATGATCATCTGTTCTATTCTTTTATAATTGTCTCTGTAAGAAGTTAGGTCCATCTTGCCAGTTTAGGTTGTTTATGTTTGAGAAATAATATTGCCTTGGCTCCCTAACGTCCATGATTGAACAGAAATGGATTTTTGAATTGCATAATGGATTTAGGGTTTAATCTAATATGGATTTTTGTATGTTTTGTTTTGAGCTGTGGCCATATCTTATTTAACTCAACAAGTTAAAGTGCTTGGCCTTCATAGTGGCCCTTACGTCTAGCAAAGTGCTTTTGTTTTGTGGTAGTCATGTTATACTTAATTTCATAATCTTTTATCCTTTCTTTAGATTTTACCTTTCTTTGTTACAGTGGAAAAATCACCCGTCACTTTGTTCCCATTGACAAGATTCTGAAACCTGTTTTGCTAGAATGTGTGACACCAATGACGTGTTACTGGACTCTATCCTTGATTGTCTGCGGGGAATCAGATCTAGTGCCAATTTTTAAGGTAAACTTATTTGTTTTTTTGTCAAAAGTTTTATGCTTCTAAGTTGCTTGAGACTGTAACAGTGAAACACTATCCCTTAAATTTTGAAGGCTAAAATTAGTAGCTTATTTAGGCTGTTAAAATGTTATTTTGTTTGATGATTTTATTTTTGGCCTCTTACCCACTGGCTGAAGAGATTGTCAATGTCTTTCCCAGAACTTACGTCCACCAGGGAAAATGTTGGTCCATGTCTGGAAGGCCTTGTGTTCTGGAACTGATAGCAAAAGAGGCTTGGACAAAGGCAATGTTGAGAATTAATTAGCTTGTGGTGATACTGATTTAGTATCTATGAGATATCTCAGATTAACATTCTGAGATGTCTATGCACATTCAAGGCCATTCTAATTGTTTGTGAAGAGACATTTGCTTTTCACATCTGTAGCTTTGCATCGATTTTTTCAATCATTTGTTGTTCCTTCCAACATCTACCCATATTCTAAGGTACTTCCCCGGATTTCATGCAAACTTGATAATTGATGTGTCCGTTAAAAGCCTTTTGAATCTATGGAGATTATTTGGGCTAAGATTGATTCTGATTTGCTTTTGTTGACAATCTTGAAGAAGCTCCAAAGAAGAGGGTGATGTCGCTAGCATGCATCAAATGAGTACAAGATTTCTGTCCACTAATTTTAATTCATTTCCATCCTTTCAGCCGCTCAGAGACTCTTCCATTTTTTTTCTCCATTCTGGATCATTTATGTTTTCTTTGCAGAATTGAACACTGCTTTCAAACAATCTAATTGAAGCCATTGTCCAGAGAACATGATAGAAGAGGTAGAGGTTCTGCTTCATGAGATTTCTTGTCGGCCACTTGGTTGGTTTGAAGGAATCCGTAAATAAAAAGTGATGAAGAAACGAGATGACAAGCTATCTTGAAATTTCTCGTGTATCCATTTTCTTGATCAGTAAAGTTGCAATTATTATTTCAAGCCAGGCTGAGACCATCTTCGTGAATCAAGAATATCTAGCTTCTTTTCCGTTGTTAACATTGACAGTTCAGTGTCACACAGGAAAATCAAATTAGGGGATAGTTTGTTGATGAGGCTTACAGTTCTTTGAACTACCGATATCTTTCGTAAATTGGCAAGGCTTCTGGTTCTTTGAAGCATCAATGCCTTTTGTACACCTCAGCAATTCTTAACTTGAACCATTTCATGGTACATGGGAAAACTTTCCTTGGGTAGCTTCCCAAACCCATGGAGAAGAGAGCTGCTATGTGACCCGCTGAAATCCGTGACCATGTCTTCAATAATGTTTGCTAGAATGGTTTCTGGGAGAGCAAACTTTATTCGAAGATGTGGGATGGAGAGAATCATTGCATTTGTGTTTTTAGTTGGAACTGGCGTTGAAACCTATGCAAGGATTTTAGAACTCTGAGGTAGGTGTGAGTTGTCATATGCTTCAGGAGCTGGGCCATTCATAAAGGGGAAAAAAGTTCCTAATAATGTTTTGCAGGAAATTATATTCTTATCATTGAACAAAGTGGATAACATGAATATTAATTAGTATTTAGCATGAGGAAGAAGGCATATCTTGTAGTTGTATAAAAAGGTTTTTTGTACGAATCTTCAAGTAGCGGCGCGATTCAATGCTCAAAGGTGAAACGGGAATTTTAAAGCAAACTCTGAGTAAAGTTTAAGGCTTTGTCAAGATGAGTAGTTGCATGGACCATCGCACACCACCCTTTGGATTTTGGAATCTCCACTCTTCATTTCCGTTTACTTTCTATTTTTACTTTTTTTTCCTTCTACTGTACCTTGAGTCCCACGTAGAATCTGATGCATTTTCTTACTGAGCAAAACGTACTAAATAAATAAGACTGATGATTAAAAAAAAAAACTAAAATCACTGCATCATCTATAAATAACTATTTCTACCAGATTTGCTTGAATAGATATTGGATAATATTACATGACATCCCAATCCCAATGAGTATTAAAAAATAAAAATGAGTACGGCCCCCTCTTCAATTAAAGGCATAATTTTTTAGTAACAAATTCAGAATATATGGTATGTCGAGCTTTTTTTTTTTTTTGTGTACAAAGAAGGGAGATCCAAAAGGGATTAACTATTATATAAACAAGTTTGCCCAATGTCTAAAGTGTCGTCTTTCAAAAGTAAAGCCAAACCTTCAAGTGGGTGATGAAGATGATGTTGCCCAATGTTCAAGTTAAATATATATAAGTAGTCAAGAAGTTAATGCATTTGTTCCCCTCACAATAAATGTGAGCTATTTTTATTTGCCAGTCTTAGTGTAGTAAACCAAGCATTAGGCTAATCATCCTGCTATGTGTATTTACCTGTGAACTTTCCGAGGATAAAAGTTGTGTAGCAAGCATGCAATCTACATCAAGTTTGATCTTTTTGTACCTATTATCTCAAGCCATATTAAAACCATCAAAGATAGCCCATAATTCAGCTTGTATAGAAGTACATATTCCAATGTTCTGCCTTGCAACCAAGCCCTTTTTCATCCCATAGGAGGTAACCTGCATCAGCTCTATCGTTAACACACTTAATTGCTCCTTATATTACACACTTTAATAACATGAATACATGATAACCGTCAATTATTTGCAACAAAAACAAAGCACGTATTATATAGCTTGCTAATCCTATATATTTATTATTTACATCCCGTATCATCTGAATCTTTATTGAGGATTAATTATAACAATAATAAAATATCATTTCAAAAGTAGTTAATATAAATTAGGGGTGAGCAAGCAGCTAACTATTCTGTTGCACTCATTGGACCTTGTTGAATTGGACCAACTCAAACTAGCCTAAAAATGAGACAATTTGAGCAAGGCATATTAACTATATTATTTAAAAAAAATTAATTTATTACTCTAACCATTATTCTTCATTTCGCAAGTAAAAAAAAAAAGGAAAAATTTCATTTAAGGATAAGGATATGACTTATTTACAAATCAAACCTAATAAAATATGAAACTATACTATTGAACCAAAAGACTTTATTAAAATTATTTTTTATAAGAAATAACCAAAATGCCTTCATTTTTTTATGTGGTATTAATAAGTCAAGTTATGAAATTAATAAATGTTACTGTGGGACTAATAAGTAAAGTTATGCAATTAACCAGTTTAATTGAGGGAGTCATAAATTTAATAATTAAAAGCAAGTTTGGTTGAGGAATTAACAAAATTATGTAATTAACAAATGATATAATTTAAATGAAAGAGTCACAAATTTAACAAGTTATGTTTAGTAACTAATAAATTATGTCAAAAAATTAATAAGTAAACTTACACGATTAAATCTAGTTGAAAGGCATTTGGGTCATTTTCTCTACAAAATTATTTCAGTTTAGTCATTTTATCCTGAAGTGTAAATTCAAATTTTATTGAGTTTAATTTGTGAATAAGTTATATATATGGTTTTAAATGAAATTCTCCCTACAAAACATCATTATTCTGCATTTCATGAACATAAATCAGTGCAAAGAAAGAAACCAACCCCGAAGCCTCCATGACCTCGTCTGCGTATGAGAGTCTCTGCGAGACTGCGACTCTGCCTCTCGTTGCCTCATCCTCACTCACGCTGCTGCCTCCACTTCGTTAGCATCCGGCTCCTTCCCCCCAACCATATGGTCTGTGTAGCCTCGTCGACAGGTCAACTGCTTCACCCAGCTTTTTGCAAACTGATCAAGGCCAGGCCTCGCGATTCTCTCTGTGAGTCGTCACAACGCTCCACGAGGGTTCGCGATTGTGATTTCTCGCCTCCTTTTTCTGGGTTTAGCTTAGCATCGTCTTCATCATTCTTCTTCATTTTTGAATAGGAAAATCAAAAGGGTGAAGGAGCATGTTGGACTCTTCTAAATTTTTTAGTCTGGGAGCCAGCTGTGTGGGATCTAATAATTGCTTAAGACTTCATCCTCTTCTTTAGAAGTAGAATGATTCGTTCCTTGAACCAGAAGAGGCACTTGTGTCTCTGTGTTTATGTTGCAGACGACTTCAACGCAGATAGATTTCGATGATACCAGAAGTAGTTGCATCACTCTTACACCACTGCTCCAAAACGAAGGCCTTTTGGCAAGGTCTTTCCCTTCACGCTGTTGTTCTGAAGACAGGCATGCAATGTAATGTTTTCCTCTCCAATCATGTTATCAATATGTATGCCAAGTGCGGTTACAGCTCCCTTGCCCGCAAAGTGTTTGATGAAATGTCCGGACGCAATCTCATTTCATGGTCTGCTATGATATCTGGATATGACCAATGTGGGGAGCACATGTTAGCACTTGATCTGTTTTCTAAAATGCACCTTGCACCTAACGAATACATTTTTGCTAGTGCTGTCAGTGCTTGTGCAAGTCTTGCAGCTTTGGAGCTGGGGTTGCAGATTCATGCTCAAACACTCAAGTCTGGTTATGAATGCATCTCCTTTGTTTCTAACTCGCTTATCTCTATGTATATGAGATGCGGACAGTGTAGATTTGCTTTATCAGTTTATAGCAATGCGGTGAATCCAAATTCTGTTTCTTATAATGCTTTGATCACTGGGTATATTGAAAATCATGAACCTGAAAAAGGGTTTGAGGTGTTCAAATATATGCATAAACTGGGTCTTGTTCCTGATTCTTTTACATTTATGGGACTGTTAGGGTTTTGCACCGAGTCAAATGATTTAAGAACAGGGATGTCATTACATTGCCAAACAATTAAACTTAAATTGGACTCTACCCCCCTTATTGGCAATGTAATAATGGCAATGTATGCGAAGTCTAATTTCATTGAAGAAGTGGAGAAGGCTTTTAGAGTGATCATAGACAAAGACGTCATTTCCTGGAACACTATAATTTCTGCCTTTTCTCATTCATCAGATCAAACTAGATGTTTAGAGTTTTTCAGAGAGATGAGGAATGAAAGTAGCGCAAGGCCAGATTACTTCACATTTGCTAGCATCCTTGCTGCCTGTGCTTCGAATGCTTCTATTCTCCTAGGAAAGCAAATCCATGCTTATCTAATTAGAGCAAGAGAATATCAAGATATAGGAGTTAGTAATGCTCTTGTGAGTATGTATGCGAAAAGCGGTTCTATTGAATATGCTTATAATTTATTCAATAAGATGTCCTGTCACAACCTCGTCTCATGGAATGCTATGATTGCTGCATTTGGAAATCACGGTCTTGGTGATAAAGCGATTGAAGCTTTTGAGCAGATGAAAGTGGTTGGTGTAAAACCAGATTCAATTACATTTGTTGCCCTATTAATTGCGTGTAACCATGCAGGATTGGTAGACAGGGGCAAACTGTACTTCAACTCTATGAAAGAAAAGTATGGGATAAACCCAAGTGTTGAACATTTCTCATGTCTTATCGACATGCTTGGAAGAGCAGGAAGATTATCTGAGGCAGAAGAGTACATGAGGGAATTTAATCGATGGAATGATCCCATTGTGTTAGGGAGCTTGCTTTCAGCTTGTAGGCTGCATGGAAACATAGCCACAGGGGAACGTCTGGCTAGGCAGCTTCTTCAAGGTCAACCCGTGGGTTCTTCACCTTATGTCTTGTTATCAAGTTTATATGCTTCAGATGAGAAGTGGTATGAGGCCGCTAATGCGAGAAAGATGTTGAAGGTTAGTGGACTAAGGAAAGAAAAATTTTACTGCAGTACTCTATACGGTAATTCTTTTAAATTTATGATAAAAATGACAAAATTACCCTCAATAAGGTGACTTATTCATTCTCATACTATATGTTGTTTGTTTTCCTATTTTACTTGTTTATAATTTTACTTCCACTTCATGTCATTCTAAGGGCTATAAACAAGTAAAGTAGGAAAACGAACAACATTTTGTAAATAAATAAGTAACATATAGTATGGGAATGAACAAATTTTCTTACTTACGGTATGTTATTTATTTAAATGAGGGCAATTTTGTTGAATTTTAAAAATTCTGAAGTTCTCTTTTTAATATGTTTGGTCAAGGGTTCCTACTTAAAATTTTCCCTATGAAAAACTCACTATGGTGGATTTTTCCCATTGAAAGATTCAAAAAATTAAACATGTACTTAGAACGTTAAATTAGGCTGTTAGTACAATTTCATCAACGTAGTACTTTCTTAATAATAAAAATAGTATTCGAAAAGGAAAAGGGGCATGGCCTCCTCTTCAATGCAAGGCATATTTTTTTAGTAACAAATTATTCATTATATATGGTATATCGAGCACTTTAATAACATGAATACATTATAAATACATTCTAATCTAAATAAAACACTTAAAAAATATTATTTAATAAATATATTAAAATAGATTTGAATACTCAAAGATATCATCCAAGTTAAATCAAAATATATTATAATTTTTTTAACGTTTAACAAAGTAGTTAACAGTCACTTAATTTCTTTATTTTATTTGGCCAAAAATAGTCCTTATCTTAAAAATTTAATATTAAATACCATTTTTTTATAATTAAACGAAAAAAAGCACGCATTACTTAGCAAGCTAATTCTATTTATTAATTATTACTATCCCCTTATCGCGTGAATATTTATTAACTAATCCTCCTGCTCGGCCAAAAAAAATAAAAAACTAATCCTCCTACAATATTTATTAAATTATCTTCTTATGACAGGATATTTCTTGAAGCAATTGAAAATATTGATATTGAGTTGTAATATTATTTTATTTATCATGAACGCAGACATAGGAAAAATTAATTATAAAAATATTAAAATATTATCTCAATAGTAGCTGATATAAATAATTTTATAACTGATCAACCTTTAAAATATGGATTTAATTTTGATAGGAAAAATATATATCCTGTACTTGAGATAAGGCTTAATTATCCGATAGATACATATATCTGACTGTAAATCCGTCTAAAAATCAATCTATAAATAAGAGCTCAATCTTTCCCTTTGAAACCCCGCGGATCTTACTTCCAAATATTGTTCTGAGATATTGAAGATGGTGGAGGAAGAGCGCTCGAAAGATCATCAAATAATTTCAAAGAGAAGTATGGAGGACGAGCAGTCGGAAGATGAAAGAATTTCGGCTTTGCTTAAGGAAGCCATAGATCTTCACAATGAAGTTAACGTTAGGCTTGGCAACAATCGAGGTTACGATTACAAGACATTTATCGATGTTGTCTGCAACTTTGGGAGGAGCCAGAAACTTGTATGCGATTCACTTTCCCGAATCTTGGAGAACCAACCAGATCTGCTCCGTGCGTTTGACAGCTTCCTCTCTGGTCCTCAGGCAACATCTTTTTTTGAAACTGTTCGTGAAAAAGAGCAACATGACGCTAGGGCTTTGGAAATACATACCATGAAGCTTTTGATGAAACTAAAAGACAAAATAGGCGATGATCTTGTCGGCATGTTCGTGAGTGCATTTCACGACTCTTCGACGAGAGGATTCGATCACGCGAAGATAAAGTGCGTGGCAGAAGAGTGTATGGGGAAGTTCCCAGATTTGATGCGAGACTTTGAGGATATATTTGAAAGATATGTGCGAGTTGATCAGTCCTTTCTACAAAAACACGAGGGCATGAGCAACTTTAATCGCCTCATAAAATACGCCTTTGTCAGATATCAATGTGTCAAAACCCGATCTCCTGTGGGTGTGCCTGGATTTCAGCTTGATTATACAAAAATTGATTAATATGTTTAATTTTGAATAAAATTGATTATATTATATGAGATATATATATATATATATATATATATAATTGATTTTAATCTCAATTAAAAAGTACAATTGAAAATAGGGCAATACCATAATCATATGAAAATATATCCAAATACTCTTATTATATGTTAAAATCAATTATGACTCAAAAATCATTTTTCCAAAAAAATTCAAACACCCATCATATATGTCACAATCAATTATGAATGCAAAATCATAATTTTCTTAAAATTATCCAAATACTTTCATATATGTCAAAATCAATTATGAACCGAAAATCATAATTATCTCATAAGCTATTATTAACTGTTTTTTAATTCATATTTTTAATTATGCTTTTCTAAAAATATATAAATGATTTTACAAATCATATTTTTTGATTTATAATTGATTTTGACATATATAAAAGTGTTTGGATATTTTAAATAAAAACATAATTTTGCATTCAAAATTGATTTTGGCATGTATAATGGCTGTTTAACATGTAATAGGGATGTTTGGATATGTTTTCATAAAACTATGATTTTAACATCTAAAATTGATTATAGAGGTTATCCAAACAGACACTCTGTGCAAACATTGTATGCTCCCATAAAACCATTTAGAATGACACTCCTATTTTTAAATCTTTAATATTCTGATAATGAAGAAATTGAAATATTATTGTAACATTTAGTCCGTTTGCTAAGTTTCAAGTATCAATCTGGGTTTTGGACTTTAATGATCTGGAATTCGATTCATTTAATATAATTTCATTTGGTTTGACCCATTGGTACAATTGTAAGAATTCCTATCTTGCACGCATCTTCAATAATAATCTTGATCTTGACGCCTATCGAAGCATAAAAAATTGGCAGACTAGTTTTTCTTCGGCCTGAAAGACTGGTTCTTGTTATTCATAATCAAATAAAGGAACATGAAAATGTAGCTTGAATTGGAAGAAAAGAGCCCATTCATTCAACGTGTGGGTTGATGCGTTGCTGGTGAGCGCATCATCTTTCCCTCGTTAGATAAGATAATGATTTCTACGCGGCAGCTAGATTTTTTTCCTCCCTTAAAAAGAGACGTTTAAAAAATATAAATTATTTTTTGATAGTTTGAATATTTAAAAATATAAATATTTTAATTTTTTAAAATATAGTTATTTTTTTAAATGCTCCTATTAAATAAATTATTTTATATTTATTGTAAGATAAAATATTTTATTAAATAGAGGTAAATATAAAAAAATACAATTAATTTAAAGAAAAGTAACTACTTTTTTGAAGGTTGGATCTGATTAAAAATACTTTATATTTTTAAATGAAGGAAGTATTTTTTAATGTAGCTCCAAATATTTATTGGATAATTTTACTACTTCTTTCTCTTAAATACTATTATTATCTAACTATATTTCTAACTTATTTATTGTTTCATTCTAGATATTTGACTTTTAATTACAAAATTAATAAAAACTTTTAAATATAAAAGTCAACATATTTATTTACCTTCTCCAATTTACTTTTATAAAATGTCTTTAAATAATATTTAATTTTTAAGGAAAAATTTAATATAATGTTTAATTTTTCAAGGAAAAATCTAATATACTTAGTGTTATATACTTAAAGTGCTTATTTCTAATTAAATTAAGATATTAAATTTTTTATAAATTATTTACTTATGAAAAAAAATCTTAATATTAATATTATTAATACATAAAAATCTAATTATTTTGATTTGATTAGATAAATATATATTAAATAAGTAAGACTAGATACGTAGTCATTTTCAATTTTTAAAATATCAAAAGAAGTATGTCAATGAAAAACATGAAGCATAATAAGTCACAAGAAAAATATAGGAAATGATTTAGATACTTAAATTTACAAACTTAGTAATTTTTACTGATTAAATCAAATAAAAAATCTAAATTTGAAATTTAAAAACAAGCAATATTAATAATAAAATTTAGTTATATAAATTTATAGTACTTATTAGTGTAAAGATAAAAGTGAAACAAATTTTATACAATTTTAATGATGTAATTAATTTTTATTAATTTTAATATATTAATTAAAAATGACTTATATAATTGAAATGAGAAGAACTAATTTCTTCTTATTATACTAACTACTTATTTTTAGCTCATTTTCCTGTATTTTTCCGGGAGCTTGAAGTTTAAATAGCCTATCATATTGGCAACCAAGCAACTAGACTGTCAAATTATACAAATTTCCCTCCACACAAACCACTTACTAAGATGTTGAAAGCCTCAAAAAATCCCCCCCAAAAAAAAGTATTAATACATCTTATATACTAGTAATCTTCTAGTTCTATTTATAAATTACTTTAAAACATGTTTCACTAAAATCAAAACAAAACTTTAAAATTAATTAACTTTGTATAAAAATTTAATAAGTTCTTAGCTTTATACTTATTGAATATATATTTTTTAATAACATATTTTCTTAATCAAAGATTTAATTGACAGTAAAAAGGGACATTCATGGTAAAAATTTAATGACGTGCGTAATGTTCACAACAATTAACCCACTGATTAAACAACACTATCAATGTAATTAAGATTAATATTCTTAGTTAACTATTACTATAATATAATAGGTTTAACTATGACAATGAAAGAGACATCCAAAAATAAATCTTTGAAAATGGAATCCCTAAAAAAAATAATTTCCAAAATTACTAAGCTCAATCAAACATAAAATCACACAATTAAAGGGAAGTAATAGATGATTATAAAATAGGATTATCCAACATCATGGGAATAAAATGGTCATTTTCATGACCTATTTACATAATTATAATTGCCCTCCCGAACACCACTTCATCATATAAATTTTTGGGAGTTAGTGACATTCAATCTATTATTCACCCAAAGACAATAACATTTAAATTCACATAATATCAGTCATAATATTACCAGCCATATCACAAATTCCTCATACTTGGATTAACAAAAATGATTAGACCTCCTACATTCAACAATGTCTCAAAACAATAATTATTCCGCAATAATGTCACTACCCCAAACACAAGCTCTAATGAACTTGGTTCAAAAAGGCTAAGCAGGCAGCAATTTATAGTCATGATTATAAATTACAAGCACAAATGCAATATACTATTGAATTGGCAATAAATATATAGATTCTACTATACAAAGATGGAGGACGCTATACAAGATGTAATCTAGCATTGAGCTTTTGGATTCTTCTTTTTATAACTACCTAAAGTGTTACTTGTAAATATTAATCACAAGATGAGATAAACATTTTAATATTCAGGAAATTCTAACATCTAATATATATAGGCATTACAATTAAGGGCATGTTAAGCAGGTAAATTGTAATATTAAATCATAATAATAAAACATTTGAGTATTCATAATCAATTATTTTTTCCCTTATCACCTATTTATTCCTTCTGGCTGAATCCATATCTACAATACATAACAGGATCGATCCATGTGATCCAACTAGTCCAAGCTCTCCAATGTTAG